GACTTATGGTCTTGCGAGCCCTGTATGGACCCTTAGACAGAGAAGGATGAAAAAGAAACTGAGGCCTAATGATGTGCAAGATTGACATCAAACCTACTAAAACCAATGGGGAATGTAATAGTAAAAGCAAATGTGACTCCATTTTGGTTTTATAAGTGGGACAATTCTGTAAAACAACCATACCATTCTGTAAAACAACCATGCCAAGTACAAGGATCATGACTGGGGCAAGATGTTCTTTTCCTTTTGCTATAGAAACCTTTAAGAACACAGAACTACCTAATGGGAACATTGTTTCTGTAACTAGGGTAACGGGGCTCTGTTTCTGTAACTGGGGTGATTGGGCTAACTGTGATTGGTTAGGCTTCCCTCCGCTTGACTGCACTCTCCTGCTTCTGTAACCTGGCTTGCTTGCATTGGCTAGACCCTCAAACATCCCTTTTGAGGTTTTCAGGCCTTGCAATTGTTTGAGGCTGATCAGGGGAACAGCTTTATGTTCTAGTCAGCTGCCACCAGTGTGCTTCATTAAAGGCTTGATTTGATTATAGGTGAGTGGTCTGGAAGTCAATTTATAAAATCCTGGGATGAAGCTTTAACTATAACAATTACTGTAGGCCCCACGTGAGGGAGCATATCATCAGGAAGGACATGGCAGAAGGAAACTGCTCGCCTCATGGTGGCTAGGAAGCAGAGTGATGGGGAGAGGACCATAGGAAGGATGAACCCTTCCACCACACTCCCCCAGTGACCAACCTCCTCCAGCCATGCCCCACCTGTCCACAGGTACCACCCAGTCGATTCAAACTAGGATGGACTGATTAGGTTACAGCTCTCACAATCCAATCATTTCACTTTCAACCACTCCTGTATTAACATAAGAGCTTATATCCAAACTATAACATAAGTCAGTTGTTCCTTCTACCCCTATACTGCCTGCTAAGTTTTCAGTTAAGCTGGATGCTTTCTATACCCATGCATTTCTTCCAATGTTCTTCCCTAGGCCAGATGCTCATTTGAACCATACATTTCTCATTAAGTGTCCCCATAAGCTGACTCCTCCTTCTACCAGTGCATCTCCTGCTGAATTTTCCCTGAGGCTATATGGTATTTCCACCAGGCACTCCTTGCAATATCTTTCCCTAGGCTACATGATATTTCCAACCATGTGCTTCCTGCAGTGTTCCCTTTAGACTGCCTTTAATTTCAAACCCTGCTCTAATTACCAAGACTTCCTTTAGGCCAGCTCCAATATCTATCCATAGACTTCCCATCTAATTCACACACTTACTTGGTGTTCTCTCCACCCATGCACCTCCTATCGACTTCTTCCTGTCCGAAAAACACAAATCTCCAGGCAGCCTTTGATTTTTGCATTCCCAAATTGAACCCTTAGTGAAAAATGGACTAAAAATAAAAAAAACTTCACAATATCTTTGGCATGCAAAACTCTCTTTGAAATTTCTCTTGGGATTCCTGGAAAGTCACAGAGATTTGTTCTTTCACTTTGTGGACACAGTGTGCTAAAATAATTAGATTTATTTGTTGCTGCTACTGACAAGTTGTCAAAACAAAACCTCTGACATCTCCAGATAGTTTTTGAGTTTGCTTTGATGCCTTCCAGAAGGTACTTTACCCAGCTAAAGGCCACAGTTCTTATCTTCAACAAAAAAGGACAGTCTCACAGCTCCATAGAAAAAGACAGGACCGCCAATACCAGTACTTCAAAGAGCAGGCTTGGATATAGGTTTCTGCTATAGAAGCTTCTAATGACACAATCACCTTTAAGACCATGCCAGTGGGAAGTGTCAGATTTCAAAAATACCTCAGTTGAGAAGCAGACAATTTTATGAAATCAGGCTTTTGAATTCTAACTTGTCTGACTTTCACCAAATAAAATGGAAGTAAAAGTCATTAAGAATCAGTTATTGAGAACGTTTTCCTAAAAATCCAAGAGACACTAATATGATGGTATTGAAGACTTGACCTTCATTTTCCCAGGGAAATTTCTACCTCAAGGCACTTTTTTCAGGACAGAGCCTCAACAATATGTAGAAGGGCAGGGCTTTTATCTCTGCTGTGTTGTGCACTTGCCATGTAACCTTGAATGAGCTAAATGCCATCTCTGGGCCTTGTTGACCTCAGCTGTAAGTATGGAGACCCTTTAAAATTCCTGTTCCCTTACTCCATTTGCCAATTTTCAGAAGAAAATTTTTTCTTAGTAAAATATCATAGTCTGGTGAATGTATATCACCATTACCTTTAAAATACTTTTTCTAACCCCCTAATTTTATAGCTGATGGGCCCCCGAGTAATCAACATCATGAGATCAGAATTCTATTATCCTCCCTCTCTTTTCACTGTTTTCAACCCTTTGTGTCAAGAAGAGCCTCCACAGTTGACTTGGTGAATTCCTTTCATTCTATGTTTCAGAATTTAAATATCTAATAACTGCAATGTCTGACCTTTCTTCCTAGTGCTACCTGGTTTCCTTTAGTCGATTTTGCTTTAACAGAAATTTAGAGATCTTTTCCACCAATGTTATTATAAAATCCATATTGTGCAAAGAAATTAATCTTTGTTTTTGTGAAGGATTCTGAAGGTGAAACTCTTAAAATAATACCAAATGCAGGTCCTATTCACAGCTTCTTCTTAGATTTAAACTGTAGCCCTGAAAGAACAAAAAATAAAACAAATTCAGTAAATACTGGCCCTAGCCTAAAGATAGTTTGAGAAGTACTCTACTATTTCACTAAATGAGAGGACTGATTATTTGAAAATTGTGGTTTTGGAATTAATTCATGGTGATAACATCAAACTCAAGTACTATAGAAATAGCCTCATGTTGACTGTAAATGAGTGAAGTACATCACACCTGAAACTCAAAAGACAGGGATGTGGACTGTGGCAAACCAGAGACGTTTATCCTAATAGGACAGCACTTTGTCATCTTCGGCTGGAGGTAACCATGTGCATGCCCAGATATTTTGATTTATCAATGGAAGAAAGAAATTCAGATATTCAAGTATAAAGTTCTTGATTTTTAAATGTGAGCAGCTAACTAATTTTCTTTTAAAACATCTGTTTAGGCCTAGCAAATTTATCTGCTGTTTGGATTAGGTATATAAGCTGCCACTTATTAATTTGTGCATTAGGTATTAATGTTTCTGAGTTTAACACAATGATCTCTCTCTCTAGAATCTTATTTTGGGAGTAACAGAGTTCTCATTTTAAAGAGTCAGACCATTTCTTTCTTTGGCTACTTCCTTTCAGATCTGTCACATTCTGGGACAAGGGGATATGGGCCTTCACAACACCTAAGTTCCTAAAGGTTGTTTCCAGTGGAAATTCAGCCTAGTACTTAGGCCTTGAGTTCAAACTAATGCCAAGACATTGTCTACCTACAAGTTCTCACCAGGCTTGGCTCTGGGGCTCATCTATTCTTCCAGGTAGTATTCTCTGTCATGTTGACCTGTGTCAGAGTCTGGTACTGATGTAACCACAGACCTAATTGGCAGCCTTTCCTTGCTCACTTGCCTCTGCAATGCTGTCCTGTGAAGAATCCAGGGGATACTTTAATTTTGTTTAGTTCTTTAAAAAGTCATAGTCATCACTAGGCATGGTGGTGCATGCCTGTAATCCCAGCAATTTGGGAGGCTGAGACAGGAGAATTGTGAGTTCAAAGCCAGCCTCAGCAACTTAGTGAGGCCCTAAGCAACTCAGTGAGACCCTGTATCTAAATAAAACACAAAATAGGGCTGGGGATGTGGCTCAGTGGTCGAAAACCCCTGAGTTCAATCCCCAGTACACCCTTCCCCCTCCAAAAAAGTCATAGTCATAAGCCAAATAAATCATTTTTAAACACTGGACAGCTATTTAACCATCATGTCAAGATCTAAGTATAATGACTTCCTCCCTGGCATTGCATGGAACTCTCCACAGAAGGATATGGGACTAGGAGAAATCCAGGCCCTGGACATTGAGATGTTTCACTGCAGGGAAGAGAGGGGCAATGGTGTCCCTACCATGTGATCAGCTGAAGGGGACCCTCCACCGGCAGTCGCTGGGGAGAGGCCTGCTTGCTACTTGCATGAGCAGTGCAGGAAGAGATGAACTTGGCCAAGGAGTGCTTCATGGCTATACTTGGAATCACAGCTTTGTGGGGTGGATATCCTGACCATGAGGTTTCTGTAAGTGTGAGGACCTGCGGGCATTATGCGACAAGAAAGGCTTCTTGGGTTTCTACATGCACAGCGTCCAAGGAGCCCTAAGCACATCCCTGACACTGTCTCCATCTTCAGGCTGCTCCTGGGCATTAGCCAAAGGCCAAGCCAAGTGCTTCTTTTTCCACAGAGGCAGGGAGGGTGAGTCAGCACCAGGCACAGGGAGCACAGAGGAAACCAGAGCGTGGCCTGCCACTGCATAAGCCATCTTTTAAAATGAGGCAGAGTGTAAGAATATGAATGAAGAATAAATGAATTAGCATCCCCATCATTCCTGTTTCAGACATTTCCTTGTGGTTTCTCCATCCCTCCTCCATCTTTGTGTGAACACCCCATCCCATTAAATTCATGCCAATGGTGTGCCACATTCTCCCCCCACTCCCACCACTGCCACCTTCTGACTTCAGACTTTCTCTACTGTGAAGAAAGCCTTCCCCACCTCAGTCATGGTTTTCAGCTCCTCCCCAGTTACCAGCTTCCTGCTGGGAACGCCACATGCCTGGGAAGGCCCCAGCCAACCCCCTGGCCTCCCAGGGTCCTCCTTGTTCAGGGCCCACAAGGACAGCTTCTCTGCCTCCTACCCCAGCCAGCTCCCCCCCCCCCAACCAGGGACCACACTGTCTCTATTAGAAACCGCTCCCCTGAAATCACTGATTCAAACACCCCACACTGACCCCTGCTGTCACCCCTCCAACCCTCTTTGGAATAGCCCCTCCTGGGTGCCTCACAAACCCCTCCAACTCAACATGACAGAAACTAAGAGGAGTCACATCCACAAGCTTTGACTTAAACGCTTTAATAATGTGGTTGATGACAACAGCACAGGATCCCTCCTCTATGGGATCTGGGGGCTGGGTGAGACTTTTGTGGAAGTCCCACCAGGGCTGGAGACCCAGTCGTCATTACTTCTTACTCTTTTTTGGTTTCTTGACATCTGGAGGGTTGGCGTTATCCTCGAAGAGGCGATAGAGATGCCGATTCTTCTCCAGCACCTTCCCCACGTGCTCCGGGGTGATGCGCATCTTGCGGTTGCTGTGGGCCTCTTGACCTGCCAGATCCAGGATTTTAGCGGTCAGGTACTCAAGGACACCAGCCAGGAAAACAGGAGCGGAAGAGCTCAGTCGCTGGCCATAGTGACCCTGCCTCAGGAAGCGGTCCACACGGCTAACAGGGAACTGAAGCTGTGCTCTGATGGATCTGGAGATGGTCTGCTTCTTAGACTTGTAGCTCCGACGGTATTTTTTCCCGGGCATGATGCTTGATGGATTCTGCTACCACAGGCTGGGCTTGATTTTTCCACTAGCCCGGCGCATCAAATTACCAGTGCTTAGTCCCACCCACTTGTTTCCCTGTGCTTCTCCTTGGTCAAAGCTGTCTTTGTGACAACTCAGACTTTATGATGTCACTGGTGTTCACCAGGCTCTGATTAGGCCTCACTCTGTAAGTGCCTGTCAGGAATCTGGTCAACCCGATGTCTTTTGAAGCTCGACTTGACTTGTTGACTTGAACACTCTACAAAAAAACTGTTTCAGTGAAAAACTTTTCCTTGTCTGTAGAATACAGCTCCAGGTTATGTGACTTTAGTCTTTCTTCTTTTTTTTTTTTTTTGGTACCGGGCATTGAACTCAGAGGCACCCGGCCACTGAGCCACATCCCCAGCCCTATTTTGTATTTTATTTAGACACAGGGTCTCACTGAGTTGCTTAGGACCTTGTTAAGTTGCTGAGACTACTCTCCAACTTTCAGTCATCCTGCCTCAGCCTCAAGAACTACCAAGATTACAGGTGTGTGCCACTTCGCCCGGCTCTTTCATTGTATTTGAGATCTTTTACATCCCTTTGTAAGTTGTAGGTTACTGATAGACATGTACAACCTCCAGTAAATGTGCAAGTGTCCTCCTCTCACACAGTAATCAAACCAATTTCGCCTGCTTTTGCATATTCATATCAAAGCTCTAATCAATATCTGCTTCTGTTCTTTGATTCTCCTTTAAAGTAGTTATAATATCTGTCATTTTATTTAATATCTGCCAAATTATTATGTGATAAATATTTTAACACATATATATATACCATGATTTTACTTTTTTGCGGCGGGGGGGGGTACTGGGAATTGAACTCAGAGGCACTCAGCCACTGAGTCACATTCCCAGCCCTATTTTGTATATTATTTAGAGACAGGGTCTCACTGAGTTGCTTAGTGTCTCACTTTTCCTGAGGCTGGCTTTGAACTCGTGATTCTCCTGCCTCAGCCTCCTGAGCTGCTAGGATTACAAGTGCATGCCATCATGCCCAGAAATTTTACATTTTTATAAAATTTATATGTATATATCACATTCTGTTTAACTATTCATCAGTTGATGGATCTTTGGGCTGTTTCTCCCTTTTTGCTGTTATAAATGATACTGCTATGAGCATTTATCTATAAGTTTTTGTATGAACATATGTCTTCAATTCTCTTGTGTCTGTATCAAAAAGTGCAATTGCTTGGTCGTATAGTGAGAATTTGTTTTATGATCTGATTATTTGGATCTCTCTCTAATAAAATTAATAGTTTGTAGAGAGACCTTCTCTCTATTGGGTGAGAGAAAATACAGAATCTGGTTTGTCAGTTGTTTTGTTTGTTTATTTTTGCAGCTCAATACAAAGAAAAAATTCTTTGATATCTGTACCAGGCAGTTTTATTGTTTCTGTGTTTACTCCTGACCCATGGCTGAAATTTGTAAAATTGAAGTGAAAAGCTCTGTGTGTCTGTGCTGAAGTATCTACGTGTCTGTAATTCAGAATTGCCTTCACTTCTAATTGTGTAAGTAAAATTTTCTAAACTCTACATGGTACTAATTTATGACATGATAAATTCTCTAAAATTAAAGGAGCTGTGTTCTGATTGATATGTCCAGATAACTAATTGCTTACATAAATTGAATGCTTCTACAAATCCCTGAAAATAAAGAAATGTAATCTTTGATTCTTTATATGTACTAAATTAAAATATATGTATTCTCTCAGAGACTGATTAGTTTTAAGAATTAAAATTCATATAATTTATTTAAATATTTAACAAAATAAGTTTAATCTTTAATGCTTAATAAAAATAACTATATTTTCTATGATATATCAGTATTAGTAAAACAAACACATTCTTTTTTTCTAGTTGGGTATGCTTTTTCCTAAACTAGCCCAGGCTTATTAATCACATAAAGTAGTATTCTAGTTATTATTTAGCATTATGAAAATATTTTTATTTTATTGGGGTAAGAACATTTAACATGAGATCTGGCCTCTTAATTTTTGGGGGGTGGGTACTGAGTTTTGAACTCAGGGGCACTCGACAATTGAGTCAAATGCTTACCCCTATTTTGTATTTTATTTAGATTCAGGGTCTCACTGAGTTGCTTAGAGCCTCACTAAATTGCTGAGGCTGGCTTTGAACTCAAGATCCTCCTGACTCTGCCTCTCGAGCTGCTGGGATTACAGGCATGTACCACCACACCCAGCCTGATTTCTTGAATTTTAAGTATACAGTACTACCTGTATTGTTGTAGGCAAATGTTATACAGCAGATCTCTAGAATTCTTTATCTTGCAAAACTGAAACCAAATTCTGACCATCTTGTGCTTCCACCATAAAAAGGTTTTTTATCTTGCAGAAGGTTTAAGACAAGAGAATCTGAAAAGGAACACAAATCTGTGTTAAAACTTTGCCAAATCTGTCTCAGTTTTGATGGGCTCACCTAGAAGCTTATAGAAAAGAGCTTGTGGTTCCTTTAAAATCAATGATGGGATGCAAACCTAGAATTTGGTTTTCACCCTGTGAAAATAACAAAGATTCCTTGGTGCATGGCCCTGCTTTTAATAAGAAATTGTAAAAGTTTGCTCTTCATCTGAAACATTAATCTGTTCAAATAGCAGAGATTTCATATTTCACTAGAATGACATTCTATATTTTGCTTGTCAATTTATCTTGTCATTGATTAGTCTCCTTAAAATAAATAGCAAATCTACATTTCTGTCAATGTTAAGGATTTGTATTTATTTAAATGTTGTGTTTATTAAACATTGTGTGGTCACTTTGATTACTAGGTAGATAGCCTTACTACAGTCATTCATGTTCACCCATGAGCCTACTGGTGAACCCTCAAAGCTGCTTCTCCCTTTGTCCATGGTCTTCCTTGTTTAATCTAGCCTTAAGTAGGACATGCTCTCTGCCCTTGCACTTGCCAACAGATTATTTCCTAAAATAACTGATGTTACACTCATGCACCTCCTTCCATGCTCTTTGGTTAGAGACTATATTCTGGCTATATCCTGTGGGTCATGCATTTCCAGCAACATAACCCCAAAGTGGATGTTCAGTTCCCCATGCACCTCCTGCTGATCCCTACTCTGGATTAGCTGCAACCCTTACCAATATATCACAAAGTATCACCCTAGGTTGACTCTACCACCCACCAGCATACTGCTTGCCAAGTAATTGCACTTTATATTCCTTGTACATCCTGCTTGGTCCTTCCCTAGAGAGGATGCTGCCTTCATATATTCTCTAGGCTATTCCTCCCTAGGTTGGCTGTATTTTTCCCTTTGCATCTCTTTAGAATCTTCCTAGGCTAGCCACTTTCAACTCCTGCACTTCCTGGTGGGTTCTCCCTTACCATGGCTGCTTTCTGCATTTCCTTCCTTCTTATTTCTCCCTCAGTCTAGATGCAACTTCTTCCCAGGCACATTTTGTTAGTTGATTCTCTAGGAGGATGCTCTATTACCTATACACTTCCTGATAAGTATTCTTTGAATGGATGATAGCTCCACCCATGTACCTCTTGCTATTTTTCTCTCCTGGGCTGACTGAACTCTATGAGCCACTTGCCAAGTGTTCGCTTAGATTGTCATGATCACTCACTCATGCACTTTCTATCAAGTCCCCCTCTAACCTGAATGCCCCCCTCTTCTCATGCATCTCCAGCTTAGTGTTTGATTCTCCCTTCCACCATGCATTTCCTGGTGGGCTAATCCTTAAGCTGGCTCCACCCTGTACTATTCAACACCTTCAATATAGCCTCAATATGCACATCCTGCCATGCCTTCCTTTCAGCTGGATGCTCTTTCTACCCATACATCTCCAGCCAGTTTCTTCTACCTTAGGATGGGTGCACCCTCATGCATTTATGTATCTCCTTCAATTACTCCCCTAGAACATAAATTCTGTAAAATCTTGTATCTCCTTCTGTGTCCTCTGCTAGGCTTGTGGCACCTTTTACTCATGAACTTGCTGAGTTTTCCCCTAGGATGAATGCTTCCTCCACCCATGCCTTACCTGCTAAATGTTACCCCAAACTGGGTGCTTTCTCCCTATGTGCCTTTCTTGCAATGTCCTCATCTCTGCTGTCTGGCCTCTTCACTTAAGCACTTCCTGCCTAGTTTTTTCCCCCAAGATGAATGAACCCTCAATGATATAGCTCCTGCTAGGTCCTCCTGTAGACTGGTTATACTTGCACTTTCTGCCAGGTCTTTGTGAGGTTGGTACACCCAGGTGGGAGGGGTCTCCCGCATGGAGAGGCATGTCCCCTCTACCCTGGCTGCTATGGTATACAAGCTCTCCCTGACACCCTGGTGGGAGTGGTCTCCCCCCTGGAGGGGCAAGTAACCTTTACACTGGCTGTGGTGGTATATGAGCTCCACCCCCCAACAGCCAGGTGGGAGGGGTCTCCTGCCTGGAGAGGCGAGTCACCTTTACACTGGCTGTGGTGGTATATGAGCTCCACCCCCCAACAGCCAGGTGGGAGGGGTCTCCTGCCTGGAGAGGCGAGTCTCCTCTCCCCTGGCTAAGGTGGTGGTATACAAGCTCCCCACAAAATCCAGGTGGGAGGAGTCTCCTGCCTGGAGGGGCGAGTCCCCACTACCCTGGCTGCGGGGGTCTAAGAACCCCTCTAACACCCAGGAGGGAGGAGTCGCCCTCTGGAGAGGCAAGTCTGCATGTGGAGGTATATGAATTCTCTCAGAACCCAGGTGAAAGGGGTCTCCCCCCCCCCAGGCGTGAGTCCCTGTTACCCTGGTTGCAGCTATATAGGAGCGCCCTCCCCCCACAAACCCAAGTGGGAGGGGTCTCTTGCCTGGAGGGGAGAGTTCCCTCTGGCTGCGCCTGGATACAATCTCTCCCTGACACCTAGGTGAAAGGGGTATCCCACCTGGAGGGGCGAGTCCCTGCTATCCTGGCTGCAGGTGTACACGAGCCCACCCCCAACAAGGCACCCAGATGGGAGGGATCTCATGCCTGGAGGGGCGAGTCCTCTCTACAGGGGATGAGGCAGAATACAAGCTAGCAAGGACACCAAGGTGGGAGGGGACTCTTACCTGGAGGGGCCAGTCTGTTCTA